ATGTGTTGTAAAGGGAATGGAAGTGCATAAAGTATTCAATGTGGTTAGTAACCGATAAAAGGTAACCAGGCGAGCAAAAGTGGTCGTTATACAACAAAAATCTAACCGATATTTTCCCCGGCAGCTCGGCGGACTAGTCCACCCCATGGAAGCGATGGTAAATAAATATGTAAACAAATATATACGCGTGCCAGTGTTCGTAGTGCATTTTGTTGAGTGGGTAGTTGAACTTTATAATGTACAAATGTTTATTCATTTCATTCATTTCTCCTTTGTAGAGCAGAGGGCTGCAGTCGGCTGCAGTTACAAGTGTACAAATGTTAAATGGTTTTAATTGTGTATGTTTAGTCAAGGCACAGTTTTAATGACACATGAATATTTTCCTGAATGGTGCTCAAGTCAGCAGTATTACAATGCACGAAAGGAGGGGGGGGGGGGTGTTTGCGATTTGTACCAGCTAACACAAGTTTCAGAGCAGTGTTTCTTCCAGACTTTTTTCTCCGGGGGGGCACTTGAAATCTTCGGGGGGCGGTAAACTTTCTTCGGGGGGGCGGACACTGTTAAAAGTATATATTTTCTATATAAATTATATAAATTTCATTTCGTTCGGGGGGGCGGTAAAAATTTTTCGGGGGGGCTTAGCCCCCCCGAAGAGATGCCTGGAAGAAACTCTGTTTCAGAGATTAAAAGAAAATTCTGTCTAAATAATTTTTTGTTTTAAAAAAAAATTATTTGCAAGATTATTGGAGGGGTGGGGTGGGGGGATATACACTTAGTTACCGCATCATGTGACACCTGACCTTGTGACGCTATTGGGTTCAAGTGTTTTAAATTTTACTTACGTTATTTGAATGTTTGCGATATCTATTCAAGGGCGCTACAATGTTTTATTGCTAACCTTTATTCACCCTGAATGAACGCGATTAGTTTTCTGACATTTACATGCGTATACGTCTAGTCCAATTTATCTGCTAATCGTTTCCCATTCATCGGGGAAATACGTCAGGAGATTTTGTACATGAACTGGATCTATTCTCCCACGGGGTCACAACTTATAGGCGATTCCATAATCGTGGTTTTAAATAGCTGATCTAGTTTCAACAGCAATCCTCACGGACTCATTATTCTTTTTTTCAAGATAGAATAATTTTCATTCGAATTACTATTAGTTACTCAAATGTTAATTTATTGTAAATCCACAAGGTAAGTAAATTCATAAAATTGGATAGTTTTACACGGACTATATTTATATTTTCTTCATTTCGTTTAGGAAATTTTAAATTTCCCAATGCGTTCGAAAACAAAAACCAAGATAGATTGTGTGGGTTGTAGAACATAGCACTCGTAATTTATTGTTTTATCTTAATCCATTTCCTTAAACAAGGCTAAAAGTTTATTCCTGCACTACGTGGCTCGACGCATGTTTATCTCAAATATCTTTGTTTTGAATCCGCAATAGATGCGGTTACTTACAGTGTTGACATGCATTTTAAATAGCTTCATTTTGACTATATTTTGTAAGAAGAGAATACGGCGTATGTAGTTTTGTTTATGAATAATGCTAGAAAAATACGAACAACTCTTAGGAAAACAGCGGTTATCGAATATGACTATATTGGATTACGTCCCCTGACACCGAAGCATCACTGGGATTGATCATAAAAAGCACTTCGTTAATATTGTATCTACTAGTCACGCCAGCTGAGACTGTCTATGGAAATCACCTAACGGATAAAAACAGCGTGAAGGCTTTGTGAGAATAGAATAAGTATCTGGTTCTTCATTGTGGGTTAAAATCAGGGGATTTTATTTATTTCTTTTAAACATGTATTGGTTATAAGCAAAATATGAGAAATAGGTGGACGGATAAGACATGGGTGTAGCAAGGTTTATGATACTTGTGGAAAGAACAACCCTTAACTAATCGTTAAGTAATCATCAATTAATTTAACCAGCTTTTTATTGTATTTACTGGTTAATTACAATTTTAAATCGTAATTCAATTTTTTTTTCGTTCGTTCTCCATTCTACCTTATATTTGCCTAATAACGATGACTAGAAAGGATTTCCGCATAACTCCAAAGGTCTAAATCTTGTTCAAATGACTGTTTACATATTGAAAGACCGGTACGTTTAATCACTTATAAATAAACTAGTAATAATTCTGAATGATTTCGGTGTTGAAAACGAGTGATTTGTGTTATACAAAAATCGTATGTACTTTATTCGTTGCGAGCAACTTTGAAAACTTAAAAACGTCTACTTGAAAGACACCGGAATGAGCAGGCTGAAATCGGAGTCAACGGCCTATGTGGCGAATAACCAGTTGACAAGTATACTTAATTGTGTTGGAGAGAATCCCTTCCAATACTAAAATTAAGAACGAAGACGAAAAAAAAATGAAAGACGCTGAATTTTCCTAGACAAATGTAGACTGGTCATGTTTATCAGCGTGCGTGTATAAGATATTAATCTGGCACTTCTTTTCTTCTTCTTCTTCGTTCTTAATTATTAGTGTTGAAGGGGATCGATATTTATCTGCCAGTGGGTTTGAACTCGAGACTTTTTTCGAATTTATCAACCATGAGCTTTTTGCCGACTCGACCACGCCTCCAACACAATTAAGCGTTACGTGTCAACTGGTTATGCGCCATTGAGGCCATTGACTCCGATTTCAGCCTGCTTTTCTTTTTGGATTTGCTTCCATAGCCTTTGTCCATCCAAGAACAAACTACAAGGCAGCAGTTGTTTAATTTTGGAGTTGTCTCTTCTAGAAGAGTGGCTGTCCCCAGCTAACGAGCCTCATCTGCCCGAGGGTTCGAACTCGAGACTTTTCGGTTTAGCAACCATGAGCTTTACCGACTCGACCACGCCGGACCCAATCTGGCACTCATTGATACTAATTGAGTGTATCTTGACCTTTATGGAGCTATCGAACCCCACCAGTTTCATATGCGCATTTACCGGACCAGTTTTAATATTTCTATCGTCCGCAATGACAAAAATCTCATCATGAATCATAAGAGTCGATTTGTTTCTTTACCTCCATCGAACCCCGAGACCAACTCACTGAACCTCTGGGGTTCGACTGAACCCATGTTAAAAAGCACGACAGCTGAGCTTGGTAATTGAACACTAAACTAGAAGGGAGTTCAAAACATTGAATAGTCTCCCCAGAATCAAACAGAACAACTAGGGTTGGTAAAATTAAGTTAACGGATTACAAAATGTGATTGGCTGGTTTTAACACGGATTTTATACGTGACAGATATCAATCACTCCCGATAATGAATCGACCTCGTTCACCCATCATCAAAGGGCGGTCAGTACACTCTGATGAGAATTGATAAAACTCATGAGCCATTTTTCATGCATCAGAACACAACAGCTTTAGTTCGTGTCGAGTCGACAGGGGTCTACTTGATTACTTAATTATTTTTTTAAAATTATTTTTTAAGACTGGCAGAAAGACAGAACAAATAATCAACGCTATACTCCATATCATCATTTTGAATAGAGAAATACAAAATAATAGAGCCAAAGTGTGTCTAAACGTTGAGAGTGTTAAGTCTTGTTAAAACTATCATCAGTTCCTAGCAGTGGCGGAACTAGAAAAAAAGGGCCACCCCGCAAAAATTTTTGTTAGCCCCCCCCCATATACATATATATAGGCCTATATTTCTATATGTATATATATATATATATATATATATATATATATATATATATATATATATATATATATATATATATATATATATATATATATATATATATATACAAACACAAAATCCGAACATATGATACTCATTGCTGGCCTGTTCGGGTTATGAACAAAAAAAAAATGTTTTTTTTTCAATTAAAACAAATTACAAGATCATGTCATGTGTGTTAGTGCTTTTGTGTATTTTGTGAAAATCAGTTATATATATATATATATATATATATATATATATATATATATATATATATATATATATATATATATATATATATATATATACAAACACAAAATCCGAACATATGATACTCATTGCTGGCCTGTTCGGGTTATGAACAAAAAAAAATGTTTTTTTTTTTCAATTAAAACAAATTACAAGATCATGTCATGTGTGTTAGTGCTTTTGTGTATTTTGTGAAAATCAGTTAAAACCTCTAGTTGGTCAAACAAATTTAAACCATGAAAGCTTTGTATAAGTAATGGTGTCTCATGCTATGTTTATTTTTATGTTTGTTTGTATTTATATTATAAATTTTAAATACTTTTCCTTTTTATTCAATGCTATTCTTTAGTAAGTACTTTAAAAAAAATAATTAAGAGAAGTCATTGCTTTTTTCAATATGTTTAGTATAAATCTATTAAAAGGAGCTTTTGAGCACCCCGATATGACTATTTACAAAAGGGAAATAAATCATGGAAGTGGTTTGAAAGTCTGCTTATCTTTGATAAGTTTAATTGTAGGAGAAGGTAAAAAGAATATACAAGAGCGTGGGGTGGTGTCTATAGAATAAAGATAATCCAACCGCAGCTACAGTAATCTTTTTTTTACAAAACAACCATTAAGATAAAAATGCAGGAAAAAATATTATGGTCGGCTGTGGGACCCTAAATGGCGTGGCCCCCCCCCCCCCCGCAATGCGGGGTCTGGCGGCACTGTAGTTCCGCCCCTGGTTCCTAGCGAATATTTTCTCAACACTCAAATCATCTTCATTGGGAAAACTGATTAGAAAAGAAATATAATTCTTTTGCAAAAGAAGAACATACACAATTTTAAAATTTCTATATTTATTAAACACTGTTAGCACTTTAAAAAAGCATTGAAATATTTATTAAACAGTTTTAGTGCACTAAATAGTAAAATTGTTCACTATTGAAAATTTTAAAAGTTATTGCCCTTGTAGGTATTCTTAAAGTTAAAAGTAAAACACGAGCACGGATACAACAGTGGAAACCAGAGTTAAGAGAAAAATATTAAGAAGTTGGAAAAAATATTTTCGGCTTAAAGACTAGAGAGCCTTGGCCGAGGACTTGTTCTGTGATACGCTAATGCAGAGGCAAGGAACTCTGTGTTATTGTGATTTACTTGTAACCCAATGGATGTCAAGCTTGCGGTTAACTCCCCTTCTTTGTTGCCTTCAACTTCAGCAGCTCTGCCCTCAACATTTTTCTTTTTGTCCCGTCTATGGACAATTATAACCAGGGCATTTCCGGCAATAGCCAGAAATGAGAACACAAGCAGGAACACGGTGTACACTTCTGTTAGATGGGAGCAATGTACTTAATTAATCGAACAGCTTTTTTTTCTGTAATGGCGACGTAAATACATGTATCTTTTTTAAAAATCTTTTTTAAAAGGTTGATAACATATTTTTTTAAAAATCCTATCACCAACCAAGATATCTGACAGCAACCCAAATCGATAAGTGTTCAAGGAATGTTACTTTATCGTTTGGGACGTGTTTAATTGTTATAACACGGAGCTATTCACATTTTTCATTGTTGTATGGAGCTATTTTCGTTTCGTTTTTACCCTACTACAGGAAACGCCTAAATTATAGACTATATAATTACAAGTTAAACATGGTCCTTTATAAACCTTATCGAAGTAGATAATTACATTGTAGTTTTAGAAACTAATTTTATAAAATACTACAAACAGTTCAAAATTTGTTTTTCTAAAAAAAAACAAAAAAACATACCCAACATTTAGAAAGGCAGAGAATTGTTTTTAATATAAAAAGTGTTGTTTTTTAAAGTTATTTATGAATATAAAAAAAATTGGCGAAAATTAAATGCTTAATTAAAAAAAATAATAAGCATACACTAATGGGCATAAGAAATCGTCACGTTTAATCCAAGGGATTGTTTTTAAATACACATCAGTATGAAAAAACAATAGATTATTTTTAATAGAATGAAAATCACAACATCGAATAGATATCGAAGTAGTCGAAGTGGGTAAAGTTAACCTATGATAAGAGAAAGAATCAAATCGTCTTGTGTTGTACAATATGATAAAGATAGACATTTATCTTAAAGAATGATTTCAAGCGCATGCAGAAAAAATCTGTTGAGTTTAAAGGCTATGGTGCCTTGACCGAGGAATATGTTTGTTACACTCCAACGTGAAACAGACGGAAGGAACAATTTTTTTTTTAAAGATAAAAGACGGGCAACAAAAAAAAGATTATATAAACATTAAAATAGAGATGACTACTGTTACCAGAACTAAGAGGAAAATATTCAAAAGCAGAAAAAATCTGTTGAGCTTAAAAGCTCTGGGGCCTTGACCGAGAAATATGTTTGTGATACTCCAGCGTGAAACAGGAGGAAGGAACTCTACGTGGTTGTAATCAGAATCAAGTTGTGCATCTTTTTCTGTCAAGCTTTCGGTTAGCTCCCCTTGTTTGTTGATTTCAACTTTAGCAGCACTGCCCTCAACATTTTTCTTCATATCCCGTCTATGGACGATTATAACCAGGGCATTCCCGGCGACAGACAGGAAGGAGAACAGCAGTAGTAACACGATGTACACCACTAGAGAATGGAGAAGATTAAATGAGAGTTACAAAAAGCGATTTCATTATAAATAAACAAACATGTATAAAACAAGTTTATATGTTTATATATATATATATATATATATATATATATATATATATATATATATATATATATATATATATATATATATGTATATATATACATATAAAACCTTTCTGTTAAAGACTATTACCTGTGTGTTTAATAATCATCATAAACCCGGTATTGCCCACCCAAACCACAACCAACCAAAACCAAAACAACAAAACGCAAACATAACGCTAACACAATTACAAATACAAACGAAAACAAAAATCTAACAACAAACCCAACCACAACCACAAACACCAATACAAACACAATGAAAAAAAACAAACAAAAAAGCAAAAGAAAACAAAAACCTAACAACAAACCCAACCTCAACCACAAACACCAATACGAACACAAAGAAAAAAACAAACGAAAAAGCAAACGAAAACAAACTAAATCCAAACGCAAAACCAACCACAAATACAAACCCAAAGAAAAAAACACAAACGAAAAAGCAAACGAAAACAAACTTAATCCAAACGCAAAACCAACCACAAACATAAATACAATCACAAACCCACAGAAAAAACACAAACGAAAACGAAAAAAGAAAGAACACAAACGAACCAAATCAAAACGCAACCACTAACGCAAACCCAAACTAAACACAAAGAAAATACTAACGCGAACATAAACGCAAAGTGCTCACAGTCTAGCCCGGGGCGGAATCGCCTGTTTCAGTTTAATAAACGACTATAGTACCCCAACATTTTCATAGTCACTTTAACGAACGTAGGCGCCAAACCGAACACGGGAGGCCCGGGGCCCCAAATAGCACCACAGAGGACGCACCATGACGTAACCGCCTGATTCAACTTAGTAAACGGACAAGCTGGGGGTTTTATAGGCGAGGCGTAGCGAGGAGGAGGGGGGGGGGACATATGTCCCCGGGTGCCGACCTTAGGGGCGCCAAAGGGGTTGGAAAAAATTTGCGGGGTGGGGGGGGGTGCAAATCGATAGTTTAAGGGGGTGGGGTGGGGGTTGCAAATCGAAAGTTTAAGGGGGTGGGGTGGAAATTGAAATTTTGAGGGGAAGGTGTGCAAATCGTAAGTTTGAGGCGGGGGACAAATCGAAAGTTTTTCTCCGGGCGCATTCACTGTGTCAGACGCGTCCGCCAGCGCTCGGAAAGGGCGCGATTTGGCGCTACGGGCTAGACTGTGAGCAATATGCCTTTATGATTGCATTTAAATTGTGTTTATGTTATGAGTGTTGTGTTTGTTTTTTCGTCTGTGTTTTTTTTTTGCGTTCGTTTGTGTTGTGTTTAGTTTTGTTCTGTTCCCAAGTTAGTACATTTAAAAAAAAAGATTTACCGTGGTGGAGCACGAGATGCATCTAATATATATATATATATATATATATATATATATATATATATATATATATATATATATATATATATATATATATATATATATATATATATATATAATTTATTTCTTTTTGACATAGATTTCTAATACTTTTTTAATTGTCTTACAGACATATTTAGAATATTCTTAAGGCAATTGACCATAATTTTTAATTGTATGATTTAATTACTACCAGAAGATCGTTTGTTAAATTGAGGAAATTATTGAAGTCTACTTTTAAACCTCAGTTTGACATCTTTGAAATTTTTTTATATTATTTGATTGTAATATTTAGCATGACTTATAACACAATTTAAAATAATCTAAACATTAACACTCATACCAACCTAGTAGAGAAATGTGGTCTGACGTTTGAGGCAGGTCGTTATCAATGACACTTAGAAACACGGTGAACGACAGAAGGATGGTGATGGCGAGTGAGACTTTCTCCGTCTCTTCCGGTGATAGAAAGAAGGAGAAGACGCTCAGGACAGCCAACAGCATAATGGGCATTAGTAGACTGGAAGGGATAAAGTATAATGGGCATCATTAGCCTGGATGGGATAAAGTATAATGGGCATCAGTAGCCTGGATGGGATAAAGTATAATGGGCATCGGTAGCCTGGATGGGATAAAGTATAATGGGCATCAGTAGCCTAAAAGGAATAAAGTATAATGGGCATTAGTAGCCTGGATGGGATAAAGTATAATGGGCATCAGTAGTCTGGATGGGATAAAGTAGAATGGGCATCAGTAACCTGAATGGGATAAAGTATAATGGGCATCAGTAGCCTAAAAGGAATAAAGTATAATGGGCATCAGTAGCCTAGATGGGATACAATATGGTGGGCATTAAAATACATACTGATAATAAAGCGATATATGTTTATAAGCATTTTCGGACGTACGTATTAAATAGTAATGTGTAGAGAGCATTACTTGTTTCTTTTTGAACTCTAGAGCAGTGGTTCATAACCCGAGTTCGATTGAACCCTTGGGCTCGATTAGTCAGTCTAAATGATTTTGCGAAAGTCAAGACCCACATTCGTCTCTCATTGTTTAGCGGTCGGATTTTTATACTTTATGGACGATAAAACTATTAAGAAATATTTGGTGGATGGGAATATAAAGCATGTGGGATTCTGTATCTCCAAAACGGTTAAGAACCACTGTTCTAAAGCCAACAGTAAAAGGAATACACGTAAACAGCTACTTACGTAATAATAAGATATGTAGGTCTTCTTTCCAGTCTTATTTTAAAATTTATCCACTTGTAGATCTTCCTGTAGTAGTTGTTCCTGGTAATTTCAATCCCATCTGACCAAATGTAAAATTCCTTGTTGGGGACTAACGACTTCAGGTTTACAGGGTAAGAATTTGCTGTCAACTAGATTTATCAGAGGGATTACATTTTAATAAAGCGAAAGGGTATTAGCAATATAGGCTATTTTCGGAAAAGATAAAAAAACGAATGCTACTTACACTCACATATACACACCGATATATATATATATATATATATATATATATATATATATATATATATATATATATATATATATATATATATATATATTTATATATATATATATAGATATATAGATATATAGATATATAGATATATAAATATATAGATATATATATTGGTATGTATGTATGTATAAGATATATAAGTGTACATATATATATATATATATATATATATATATATATATATATATATATATATATATATATAATTTATTTGTTATTTTTATATATCTATCTATCTATATACTACTAAAACTCAAGTTTGTTTACATGTTTGAATATTTATTTGTTTGTTTGTCTGATTTCGTACTGTATGTAGCCTCCTCATAATGGGGGGGGGGGGGGGGGCTGTAAAATAGTATGTAGGTAGAGAACAATTTTTTTTATTGCAGACAGACTGTTAAACACACATTTATTTAAAGACGTTAATTAATTTATTGATTTATTCATAGGTAGATTAACCACATTAATTTTAAAGTTTTAGAACAATGGCTTAACTTTGACTGAATAGTGACATTACTTTTTTTTTTTTTTATTTGTTATTGGGGAGAATCTGCATTATGTGTAGAGTTGTAAAGTAGGATTTTGGGTGGTAAATATTGTTCTCTCTTAAACACACTGTTAATTACAAACTAATTTAAAGCCGTTAATTAATTTATTGATATATTCATAGGTAGATTAACCACATTAATTATAAAAGTTTAGAACAATTACTTTAGTAATAGTAAACAGATTTATTTCTTTTTACAACAATGTTTTCAATTATTTTTTCTTAAGGCCTATATGTTGACTAACAGGACCTCGCGGGGAACAGGGCAGGTGGAGTAGAGTTCACCTGTTTAGTAGCGTTTTTTCAAATTATATAAAAAAACGTCTTTTTGAATGTGGGGTCTGGTTATTTTGGGGAAATAAGTGCTGACAGACGTGATGTCATTTATGGATGTCCCCCTGAAACCCACAGTTATCTAACTAGATAACGGGTAGTCTAGTAAATTACTAAATATGCTCACTTTAATGTATTTATTATTGGATATATCAAAATCAGATATGTTTGTACCTACTATTAACAATACAGTGATATTTCGAGATGCTAAATAGTTTTCAATTAATTAATTAGTGAATGAATGTTGTAGTGGACTTAAACTTTGTTTTTATTTATCATCTGATGCATGTAGCCGACTATTTTATTTCAAATATAACTTGTTATATAACTTGTGATATTATTTATTGACTTTTGATAGAGTTTTCAAATAAACAATGTGCAGATTGTTAAAAGAAAATGTAATGAAATCTAGTATTTGAGTTTTTTTTTAATAAACTTCACTGAAGGGGACATGTGGCTATGAGTGGAATGATTAATAATCAATTAGAAATATTAATCTGCATCAAGTAGTTTCAATATTATTAAAATTTGAATATCAAAGCCAATAAAAATGTACGAATGTGTTTCAGTGGTGAATCTTTTCAAGTTATCATTTTTGTTTGTCAAAATATAGATCCAATTTATTTTTAAAAATCTGAAATTATCAACGTTGCTATTACTTAATTGAGTTCATTTTTTTGTGTGGGAATTTTAAAAATATGTGTACACACACAACGTATTAAATTAGTGTTTATTTGCGGCATATTATTAGAATCGGTGTTTGAATATCTTAGTTAAAAATAAAACTCAATTGATTATAGATGTAAACATTGTCACATTGATCGTGGATTCGTCGTTCATCCATGACGTCACGTTGACGAAACACAAGGTCTGGTCGAATGGATACTTGGTTATATCCACCTGAAAAATCACGTGACTAATCAGCGTGCACCAATTTAACTGTTCGTGTAAACTAACTAGGCGTATTAATCTAACTTTTAGAATCTTTAAGTGAACATAAGCGTGTGCGAACACTTGAAATAAATACCAACCTGTCACGTAGTAATCGACATAATGTGCATTGCAATTTTACTACATATTTAGTGCTTACTGTTTCTCCTGTCGCCCGAACGCAACGAAGCTTTCTATGTGATTCAAATACAGACAAATGTCTATCAATTGCCCCAAATGTAACAGAAAAGAATGTTGTTTTTTTTTTAACTTTTAGCCTGCTTTAATGTATTCCTAATCTTACACGCATTGTGTTTCCAATATTATTTGTAGCATTTATTCGTCACTTTTAGTTTTTGATTTCTGTAATTTTATATGCATGTTTTACAAATAATATTAAAATAGACAACTTTACGTCAAATTAACATTACGTACACTACAAGCGACTCCCAAACTTGTTATCGGTTCCCATCTTACTTGACCATCTGAAGTGACAAAAATCTGAAGCTCTTCAGCTCCTAGAAACACTTTCTCTATGCTGCAAGAAAATTCAAATATATACTTCCTTAAACAACATATAGGCTACTCTTCTAATCGTTACTAAACATTGACATCTTGGTTACACATCTAACACTAAACCTAACCCTAACACTTCAGTTTGTTTTAAACTTACCCATTGAAGATTGCGATGTCTGGACGCCACAGGGATTTTTGGGGTAAAACTATGTCCTTAATGCCTCCATATTTATCAGGATTCCATATCATCAGCTCGTCCCTCCATATCTAAGAATTTACAACAGTCGGACCCAATGTTTAATATTTGCTGGGGCATTATAATTATTATAATGGCATTTTACCTTTTTCTTTGCGTTTGATTAAACTTGGAGTCTAGATACCAGTTGATAATTTTAACTCACGTTCACATAGTTCATAAATAATAGTACAGGGGCTCTATTAAATATGGGAACAGGGCATTTCCCCCCTGTCAATTACCCCCCGGACATTTCCCCCCCCCGACATTACCCCCCAGAGTGATTACCCCCCCTGTCAATTACCCCCCTGTCAATTACCCCCCGCCCAGTAGGACATTACCCCCCCCCCCCCCGGACAGGGTTAGGGTTAGGGTTAGGGCTAGGATTAGGGCTAGGGTTAAGGTTAGGGTTAGGGTTAGAGTTAAGGTTAGGGTTAGGTTTTAGGGCTAGGGTTAGGTTTAGGGTTAGGGTTAGGGTTAGGGCTAGGTTTAGGTTTAGGTTTAGGGTTAAGATTAGGGTTCGGGCTAGGTTTAGGTTTAGGGTTAGGGTTAGGGCTAGGGCTAGGGTTAGGGCTAGGGTTAGGGTTAGGTTTTTGGGGCTAGGGCTAGGGTTAGGGCTAGGGTTAGGGCTAGGGTTAGGGTTAGGTTTTTGGGGCTAGGGCTAGGGTTAGGGTTAGGGTTAAGATTAGGGTTAGGGCTAGGTTTAGGTTTAGGTTTAGGTTTAGGGTTAGTGTTAGGGCTAGGGTTAGGGTTAGGGCTAGGGTTAGGGTTAGGTTTTTGGGGCTAGGGCTAGGGTTAGGGTTAGGGTTAAGATTAGGGTTAGGGCTAGGGTTGTGTCTAGCGTTGATTTTGGTTTTGTGTGAAGTTTTAGGCTAAGGTGGATGCTTAGGTTTTGGTGTTTTTCTTAAGGTTTGGATTAAAGTAGTACATAGGTATAGAATTCTAGTTAGAGTTAGGATTCTAACTTGAGAGGGGGGGGGGGGGTAATTGACAGGGGGGTAATTGACAGGGGGGTAATTGACAGGGGGGGTAATTGCTCCGTGGGGTAATTACGGGGGGGAAATGTCCGGGGGGGGGGGAATTTTCCAGGGGGGTAATGTCCTGTAGCCATTAAATATATATATATATATATATATATATATATATATATATATAAAATATGTATATAAAAATACATATATATATATATGTCTGTATATATATAATATGTATATATATATACATATCCATATACATATAACTATATATATATACATATGTATATATATATATATATATATATATATATATATATATATATATATATATATATAAGAAAAACCAAAGTAACTTACAAATGACATGTAGCCACTGTACATTAATACTTGGTTCTTGATATCCTTGAAAGATACAAAAAGTTCTATTTTCTCAATTTAGTGCGCGCAGAGTATGCATCATTAACATTATCACATTTCTTTATCCTTTCATCTAGGCGTCAAAATTAAGACCACATACCTGCTTCAGTTTTATTTGATCAATCTTAGTAATCATTACCTTCTTGCATTTATTTAAATCGATATTAACCAACTTACAAGATCTAGAACAATGGCCAGGTTAAGCCTAGCACTGACGTTTGTTGGCTGACTGTAGTTGCGTGATGGTCGGATCGATGGGTTGTAGTTTGTCAAGAGGTCTTTGAATAGACGGGACATGTCTTCGATACTATCTGTGGCAGAAACTACAAGGAAAGACAAGGTAAAACTCTGGTTAGAAATTCTGGTTTGGATTTTTTTAATGAAAGACACTAAATATGCTTGATAATCTTAGTGCTTGTGTATACATTCCAGGGCAGTGGCAATGTAAACTGGTACTAGCCATACTAAAAAAACATACAATCCTTTCATAAGCGTTGGTCAAACAAAAAGATTGTTTTTACTTGTTTAAAAGAAACTCAGCTATGAGTTTGGAATTTTTTCTTGAAGATTGTTGTTAGCGATATGGCTAATATCACTTATTATGTTAAAATAATACATTAAAATATTGAGATCTTATTTTCTTTAATGTATTTTAGAGGAGAATTTCTATTTTCAGTCAAGCTGGTGAAGCATTTTAAGCGAAATTTTGTATCGTTTCAGTCTTTAAAAAACAAAGGTACACCTACCTTTTGGGTAACACAGTACAGAGAAAACAACTAAAATCCATTTAGCATCAATCATATTTTCCCTGAACTTACATCACCCACAAATACTGCAAAATAAAACATGAAAAATGTAACTCTTTGACGTTACATAAGGTCGCTTTGTGTAGTTGGCAACTTGCTAAGAGATTATATCTGAATATTGTGCTTATGCAGTACACAGCAAGTGCCATTAATTGATTTTCTACACGCAAATGCCAACGCTTACGCAGCTACGAATATAATTAACTACCTCTGCTGTTGTGGGAGGCTAGTTTAAATATTCACGAAGAAGTGTATTTTATATTAAAATCATTCGGTCTAATAGATTATCCTGGCTCACATATTCGAAGTCATGGTACGATGATTTCGTCGATAAACAGGGAATATGGTTGAGTAATTGATGCAAGGTCTTAGATCACAGAAAACTATACGGTTTGAATGTTTTTGTTAACTCGCTTTATCCAAGAAAGTTTATGTATTTGATTATTATGCTCTGTGATGTCTTGTCTGTTTGTTTTTAAAGAAGTAAGAAAAAGAAAAGAGTATAAGTGATATAATTTTTTTCTTAAAATCATGTATTAAATTACTATTATACAGTGTCAATAACTTTGGGGTAAAAAATAAAATAGGAAAAAACAACAGGTATAAACATGTTCTAATAAAACGAAATGTACAAAACTGAAAAACAAAAAATTATGTTACTAAAATCATGGTTATAGAAAACATTTCCAATACTATTTGCGAAAACGCTTTTGTTATTATATGTTTAAAAGTGTTGTTGATTGCATATTTCCATGCATTTAAACTGTAATTTATAATAGATGAATTTTTAAAAATGAAATGAATTCATTTGTTGTCCTTAATACTTTATAATTGTTGTACAACCCAAGCTTAGCATTACATCAGTGACTGACACAACGATTATAGATATAGACAAAAATACAATTCAATAATTGTTTTATTTTATTTATTATATTAGAAAACGGACACTGTAGCAATTACCACACTAAATCGTCTAAATAAATGCATCTTAACTTATTGTACTTAAGTTTTAACAATAGCCACGGATACTCTAAAATTGAATAACATGTTTCTTTGAAGATAATTTTCCTAAATTAATTATAATCTTTTAATTTTTATGCACAGGAGTATATAAAAAAACCGTGTGGAGGAGCTGTTAGGAAAATCACACAACATCAAATGGATGACCAAAGAGTTGAAATATTTTAGTCTGCCACAACACAATTATAATGTGTTGTATCATTAGAATTTTTAAAAAAATTTAATAAATAGGTAAGTTTAATTTCACATAGAAATATAAAAAGAATAGGTACGTCTGTTGCGGTTCAATTGGATGTGACAATTCTGTTTAAACACTAGCAATGTTGCCTAGTGCACACACGTCTTAATCTTTAAACCATCTTCAACACGAAAAACACTCGTTTAATATAAATGACATTCTTCTCTGACAAAAAATTCCCGTAAAAATGCAAACGGAAATCGTCTTTTACAAGAAAATAAAAACTGAATATTTTACATTTATAATAGAAATTTTTAAAGGGAGCACATTTATATAAAACATAGTGTTTAGACTGTTGCAATGAGCTAGACCGAAAAATCGATAAATAAGGCTGTAGGACCTTCACCCAAGACTTTGTTCAAGAAGCTCCAACGTGGAACAGAAGGAAGGAATTCTACGTCGTTGTAATCAGAATCAATTTGTGCATATCTTTCTGTCAAGCTTGCGGTTAGCTCCCCTTGTTTATTGTCTTCAACTTCAGTAGCTCTGCCCTTAACATTTTTTATCAAGTCCCGTCTATGGACGATTATAACCAGGGCATTTCCGACGAGAGCAAGGAAGGAGAACACAAGCAGGAATACGATGTACACAACTGATAGATGATAAAAAGAAATGCATTGTAAAAAAAAAATTCGGTATTATTAATGGTATAGAAATAATAAAATTTAATCATTAAATTTCACTTTATAGGCCTATATGCTATTTGGGCATACTACAAACGTTAAGAAGCGAATATTTTAAAAATTCACGATTGACATATTCATGCTTTTTGCATATAAGCTAAAGTAAAATCCTTCCCTTAGGATCAAACCAAATCACCTGATCGGGTATTTTAATATAAAGCGTAAAATATTGTGTTGAAAGTTTGTTTTTCCGATCTTAAAATATTTATAACCTTCTACAAACATTAAATTAACAGTCTTCCCTCTGACCTAATACAGACATGCGGTCTGATGTTTGAGGCAGGTCGTTATCAATGACACTGAGAAACACGGTGAACGACAGAAGAATGGTGATGGCGAGTGAGACTTTCTCCGTCTCTTCCGGTGATAGAAAGAAGGAGAAGACGCTCAGGACAGCCAACAGCATAATAGGCATCAGTAGCCTGGATGGGATAAAGTATAATGGGCATCAGTAGCCTGGATGAGATACACTATAATGGGCATCAGTAGCCTGGGCGGGATAAAGTAGAATGGGCATGAGTAGCCTGGATGGGATAAAGTAGAATGGCATCAGTAGCCTGGATGGGATAAAGTAGAATGGGCATCAGTAGTCTGGATGGGATAAAGTATAATGGGCATCAGTAGCCTGGGTGGGATAAAGTATAATGGGCATCAGTAGCCTGGATGGGATAAAGTATAATAGGCATCAGGAGCCTGGATGTGGTAAAGAGATAAAAAATAATAAGCATCAGCAACTTGCAAGGGATAAGACTTCAGTTTCTTGGTATGGATGGTGAATTAATGCACGTAAGTATTTTGTATTTAATAATATGCCAAAAGAATCCGTAGCATGTATACAGGTAAAGACCTTCTTCGCCTCTGGATGGGTTAAAAGCTAGATCTGCAATACAAAAACACTCACAAGGATAAGTTATATTCAAGATTTTGTATAAAAATAACTGTTCGTAAAAATAAACTGCTAGCTAAATTATTACTCACGTTATGGCAAGGTAAGTTGGTCTCCTGTCTAATCTGATCTTAAAACTTAACCACTTGTAGATTTTCCCATAGAAATCGGCCCTCGTTACTTCAACCCCATCTGACCAAATGATAAATTCTTTACTTGGGACCAAGTACTTCAGACTTACTGGGTTAGGACTGGCGGTCAACTAGAACAAATATACAGGTGAGCAATGCCTTAATCATTTAAGTGAAAAAATCATAATTCATTTTTGTTATTCCAGGAAAAACCGCTTCAGTATATACATATTTTCTCGATATATATATATATATATATATATATATATATATATATATATATATATATATATATATATATATATATATATATATATATATATATATATATATATATATATATGTATATATATATATATATATATATATATATAAACTTCAAGTGTGAAATTTTGTTACATGATGTATTTTGTTATTAACTTTAGTCTTTTATCGTTTTTCATTTACATCAAGTTAGTAGTTGTTTTTTAAATGACGTCATCGTTTGGTGGTTTTAATAGAGAGTATTTGTTGTTATTCTGTAAAGTCTGATAACAATATTGCAGCTTTGAATATAATTCCGGAAATTTCAAAAAATACACCAAAAATAAAACAAAAATGACTTTGTGATTTTAACAGTATGAAGCAGGGTTGCATGGAAGCTGACTCTAAAAGAAAATTTGTCTCAAGTAGAAAAGGCAATTATTTTCTCTTACACATAATAATGACAAGGGAATAATGTATGATTTGAACAAGCTATAAAGTAGGTCTATGCATTCGATTTGATTTTATGTTTGTCAAAAAAAAAAACAACAACTAAACCTCCACATTATAACATTTTTATGGATTAGTTACATTGATCGTAGATTCGTCGTTCATCCATGTCGTCATGTTGACGTAACACAAAGTCTTGTCGAATGGATATCTCGTTACATCCACCTAAAATAAATTACGTAATAAATCAAAATTTATTATCTTACCAATGTAACAATGAGCTTGTATCTTCTATTTGTGTTTTTTTTACAGATACTCCCAAACAGTGAATCTCTGTTTAAGCGACATAGAGATTAAGTCAAAACAACAAATACTTACCATGATAAACAAATTGGTTGTTCGACATATTTTTCTCGATCAACCAATGCAACGCTCGTAATGTTTTTTTTTCTTTTTTTTTAAATTTTAAGTTCATATAAAGGTAAACACATGCAAGCTAAACTAATAATTACGTATAAACATACATGTTAACCAACTCCTAATTACATAAAAAAACAAGTATACAAGTTACATTTAAACAAATAATAATAAACTCAAACATACATACAAGTATACAAATAATGTCCAAGTAAACACATATAAATATGCATGCTAGTGCATATTTACATATAAACACAAA